CAGACAAATACACTAATTTTTTGATTAAAAAAAAATGAATTTCTTCTCTGGAGAAAATGCCTATTTTTAAGAACATTTTCAAAGCAAGTAATGGGTGTTTAGATTTACAAAGAAATGATTTAAGCACACAGTGTTAGTGTAAAAGATTAAAATGCCATCTTAAAATGACCATTTTTTCATTCTCAAACGTATTTACAGCATTAGAAACATATCTCCCTCCAGCTATCCCAGGAAAAAAGTTTTCAAGTCTTGACGAGAATAAATAAAAATTCCCCAAATCCAGTATCCTTTTCCCCTCGTTTAATTTTATGCAACTAAAAAAGAAAAACACTGCAGGAACACAGAGTCATTATAAAATACGTTAAAGCACCAAAATCTATACAAAATCAAAAATTCTTCCAAGAACTGGCTGAAAACAAATTCAAATACAAATTAGCAGAAATTTTGATTTCTGTAATATTAGGCAGGTTGTTGTGTGTGATACAAACAATTTCTGTGATCAGTGTAAAAGATTTCTGTATTGCCCAAGCAACGGGGGAAAAAATTTAATGACGTTGCACAGAATATGATCAGACAGAAACAAAAGTTACAGTTTCCCCCAAAGGAGTAAATAAAATCAAAGAAGCTAATTACAAAGACTGGCAGAGGTTCTAAAATTGTGTAGAATTACATTAGACATCTTTAAATCACAATTTAAATTTTAAGCCATGAAATGTCCAACAACATATTAGAATATTCTTAATAAATTTCAGCCTTTCAAAGCCACAACTACCATAAATTAGAGAGTTTAAGTAATTTTGGTTATCTTTCTTTCCTAAAGAAATGACAACATATTTTCAGATATTTCAGCCATGCAGCGTGAAAATTTTTCTAGTTGATGGACTTTCTGAATTAAAGTTTTCTCTGCATTGGATGAGCTGAATTATCAAGGTAAAAATAATCAGTTCCATTGTAGCCTTCCTTTCATACAGTCTACCAAATCCTATCTTAATAAAGGCAGCAATTTTGAAACAATGTGCTAGAAACATATGTAGGACAAGAAATGATTGTGAAGTTTTAATAAAATTATAACATTTGCATCAAGAGCTACTTTGAAATACTTCTAAATGACTAAAATTTAACAATTCACATTATTGCAAAACCAAAGAACTCTCTACCAATAAACTCGGAATTTGTGTATGTGTATGTACATACACATACACACACAATCTATCAGCCTAAAGTATTCTAGTTTTTAAAAAACCACTTCTCTTACTAAAGGATGCTTATTTTGCTCATTTTAAAAGAGGCTGTTTCTCTCAGAACAAATTCAACCATTCACTTTCATGAAACAAACCTAATTTTGGCTTTATGGCTGTGCCACAAATGTTTCTTAGTAAAATAAAGTTGCCAAGGTCTGAAAAGTAATCAGAAATATATTTTAAAGGGGAAATTACATTTTCATTTAAGAATAGGAAATTATGCAGTGCCTTGTAAAATCAACTACAGGTAATGGGAAACAGAAACATCGCATACACACACAAGACATGCATGCACGACAGAGTAGTAAGTCATGAGGACAAAGCGAGGAGAATGATATATTGGTATTATAGCTAGATAATATAAAGGCTAAACAAAATAATTCCTCTCTCAATCTCACTGAATTTTGTAGCTTAATTCGCCTCGGGCCCTAGGAGGCAAAATATATTTATAGAAGATATTCCCTGAGGTTCTCCTCCCATCCTTGAATGAGCTAATGATATATGCAATTAAATGGGAATTGTTTTTAAATCTAAATGAACTTTAATAATCTCACTAGCTGATAGGGGAATCATAAACTAAAGAAGATATTTGCCTTGCATATAGACATGATTCAGCAAGAAATTCAAACGAAATCTGTCAGATCGTACCAATGCCAACCCTACCTAACAGCAGCACACCAACCCATCAAAAGAAAAATAAAATTCCATAGGAATGAAACCCATTCCTTGTCGCCTCACCTTGGGGTCGATATTCTTGAAGTTGGGGTCCTCTTCATCTACCTCGAAATAGAGTTCAGAGGAGGTGACAGAAAGAGTGCCCTTTGCTACCACAGAGGGGGCCACAAGCTGAGCTGGTGTGCTCAGGCTAACAGGACCTGCCAAAAGGAAAAGACAAGCCATACAATTTGGAATAACATTTTTCAAAAAATCAAATAGATTCAAGCAGAAATTTTATTTAATTTTAAAATTCTCACCTCTAGCACCAAATTGCCTGCCAACTCCTACACTTAGAAATTCTATCCACCCCAAATCTTCCTCTGAAAATGCAAAGTTCGGATTCTCATACTAAGAGATTAATAATAGACAATTAATGACAACAGTAAACTAGGATGCAATTATTTTACAGGGAGTCTGCAAAGCTTCGGTCTAATCTCCTGGTTCAGAGGGTGGCTCTGCCTAAATAAGTCCATCCACATTCCATTTAGAAAACATGCCTCGGGCTATCCAACAACATGGAACAACAACCAGGAGCAAGGATGACTCAATAGGCTCCTAAGGCCAGAGGTTAGCTCAGAGTTTGGCTGGGGCATGATTACAAAAAGAACACTAGCTTATTAGTAAAGTGAGAAACACATTTCACCATATTCTCTGATAAAGATTTTGTGCTAGGTTGACACAAAACCTCTTCCATAATAACTTTATCCATGAAAGATTGGTAGAAATACTTATTTACTAAGCCTGCCTTTCCATTGTTAAATATTGTTCAACGCTTCCAAATCTAATATTAGTGTAGTTCAGGGACTCTGGGAGTAAACAGCTGGAGGGTGGATTTCCAAGTGAATGAATTTTTATTGGAATAATCAAATCTCCAAAGGGCTTATCAAAGAGACAAATCAGCCTGCTACTGAAAACAATAGAGTCAATAGATAGAAGAGCATAAAGCATATTAGAGCTAAACCTAAAATAAGGACTAAAAATAATTATTACATTATATATATTTAGGTAGAGACAGATTTAGTAAGAATTGGAAATCCTATGTCAATTCCTCATTGTACAAATCCTATAGGTGAAGAAAACAGCAAGAGAAGACTGGCACTTAGTGGTCTGAATTAATATAGTGCCTATAAACATGGTACACCTATTCAGGTAATCAATGGATGAATAAGTGTTTCAAAATTCAGATGAATTGACATTTCCATCGATTGTTAGAAGGGTGTTGATACTTAATCTCACATCAATCTTAATGTGTGCCAGCAGGACAATAGAAGGGATGCTCTGCAGAGATCAGAGCAGGTTTTGCCCTCTATTCCCAATGTACAAATACATTGTGTTTGCAGATGGGCAGCAGATAGCTGTGGAACAGCCATGATTTCCCAAAGCTCATCCCTATAAATGGATGAAATAAGCAGCTATGTGTTCTTTTGGTGTCTCCTTTGCCCTCTGTACATTAGCATGTAATCCTGAGAAGAAATAACATTTTTTCAATCACTCTCAGACATTCAATTACAGGGTAAGCAGACAGCTGCAGGAGCTAAGGCAGCCTAGGTCCTAAAGAAGACCCCTGACAATTTCCACTTCATTTC